ACTGAATATTTTCACCTGAGAGGTACCCCAGCATAGTGGATGGAGAACTGGCTTCAAGGCAGGAGAACTTGGGTTCAAGTCCTGCCTCTGAAACATGCTAGCTTTATGTACTCTGGGCAAGTAATTTAATCTCTGAGTATCTCAGGCAAGTCTCTAAGAAGGTATTGCAGAATATTCACTCATCGGCGTTGGACGATGGGATTTTCTCACTAGAAGTTCCATATACAGATGAAATCACATATCTGGACCAAAAAAATTACTTGTCAATGGCCATTCCTCTGTTTTGTTCTTTTTCTTGGTTAGTCTGTCTAGTTAAGGAGTTTCTTAACCTGGAGTCCCTGAACTTGTTTTGTTTTTTACTAACTTAATAACTCTGTATCAGTAGAATTGGTAGCCTTTGTAATTTTCAGAGTTTTATTTTATACACTTTAGCTATTATCCTTAGAGGGTGTCCATTGGTTTTGCTGGACTGCTGAAGGGGTCATTAACAAAAACCTCTGGGGCAGCTGGGTGGCACTGCCATATAACACTTACTAGCTGTGTGACTCTGGGCAAGTCACTTACCCCCAGTTGCCTCACCAAAACAAAACACAAACACAAACCTCTAATCTTGTTTTTTACATATAGAATTTGAATTTCAAGTACTACCTAATTCTGCTTCTGATTATAAATTGCAACAAACTTAAAGTGAGATCACTTGAACATTTCAGGAGCGATTTGCACATTGAATATATAGGTTATTTATTGATTTAGCTTTCTGAGTATGCTATCTGTGTGCTCTAGAATACTGAGACTAAACCTATAGCTGGTGCTGGTGCTCCATAGTAGCCTGCTAGGGTTGATCTCCCTGGTGAGAACTTATTAAGTTCCCATCAGGTTGCTTTCTGTAATGACCCAGTGAGATCAGCAGGAAAGTGAACTTGGTGAAATTGTTCTCAGAAGTGATCCAATAATAGATCCCTCAATAGGAGTTCAACCCAATTAAAGTATCTGGAGAAACAAGCAGGTGTAATCACTAGGGGCTTTTTCTGCAAACTCCATTGTCTTTAGGGTGATTCTACCAAGTTCCATCTGGAAATAAGACAGATGCCCATCAATTATCTTTATCTATGAACTGTACAAGCAGCTTAGATAACAGAAAAATGGTCCTACCAGTTTCACTGTCTAAAAAGGCTAAGGCCCTTCGATTTGAATTGCAAGAAAAACACATAGAATTAGGAGATGTGTAGCATCAGAATTTTTAGATTCTATTCAGTGCAGGAATTTGTTTTGCTTCACAATGAATATTTGTTATAAGAGTTTTGCTTTTACTTTTTCAGCAGAGGTTTAGGAAGTTGGAAGAGAGGAAAAACATTTTGTTAATTAAAAAAACCTAAAATGTAATATAATTACCACATGAAAAACAACCGTTTTTGTTTCCAAACTAGAGAGTTTTCATCTATATTTGTCTTAACCTGTTTTGTATCATAGATTGTAAACTATAAAGAGCCGAGATTGTTTTTCAGTTAATGTATAACCAGTTTGACATGCTGAGTGTTTAATAAATATAATTTAACCCTACTTATTCCAGTCTTCAAACAGAATATTTGATGATGCTAAAAATAAAATATCTTTTAAGAATTCATCTTTATTTACATCTCTTTTCTTGTTCAGAAGTAAACATGACATAGTGGAAAGCATATTAGACTTGGGGTAAGAAGGCCTTATTTCCAGTCCCATCTCGGATGCTTAATAACTTTGTATTTGTGGTCAAGTCACTAACCTCTTTGATCCTCAGTTTCCTGATTTGTAAAGTGGGGATAATACTTGCACTACTTCATATAGGGTTGTAATAAGCAGAGAATTGTAAATTGTAAAGAAAATATCATTAACTGATTCACAGCTGCTTTACTACTACTACTACTACTACTACTGCTTGCTAAATAGAAAATCATCATTGATTCTACTAGTAAATTACAGAATTGTAATTACAGAAATGAGGAGTCTCATTAGAAATAGTAGTCCCTCCAAGGAACCCCCAAGGACATAGATATCATGTATGGTAAAAAATTATGTTAAATGTGAACAGGTGATTGTATTTTTCCTGTACTTCATATATATGAGAGCAGAACAAAATATTGTCACATTCTTTTTCTCTTCCCTTTCTTCATGGTCCTGATTCTTTATTGCTTTTTTCATCTGCCATTGGTCAGACCTTTTGTTTGGGGGATAGGATTTTGAATAGAGGTGGGGGGTTTGTTTTGCTTTTTAGCAGAACCCTTTATGTTGCAAAAGACTAAACTAAAATGTCTAAGGCTATTCAGGAGGAGTATTTATGTATAATTTTATCATAGATGCTCCTCTCTGAGCAAAGATTTTTTTTTAACTGCTAAGACTCTTACATTGAATGAGACCCATTGGGAAGAGTTTTATAGAAGTGGATTATAACCACTAGTATGGTGGTAAAGGGGAAAAAAGTTATTTTATTTTTGTGTGTGTTAAAAAATATTTATAATATATCCAAAACAATATCAGAACCATTTTATTCAATTTGTTATCATCAGAATTGTATCTTGGTTTGTGTTTATTCCTAAGTGTGCAAAAAAGCCACACTGAAGGTTTCACATAGCCCATGCTTCCCATCTTTGATTCTGCAGAAAACATTTAATTGGGATGATAAAGAAGTATTAATTTTAGCTGGGGGTGGGAATAGGATCAAAAGGTTTTTATATTAGAAGGGTCTTTACAGATCACATAATCTAAATCCGTCATTTTGCAGATGACGGAACTGAAGCCTGGGGAAGTTAAGTGTTGCTTTGGGTCAGGATTAAAATTCAGGTCTTTAGATTCCAAATTCTTTCCACTAGATGATGCCTACTGACATTTGTTTAAGTTGTAGCTAGTACATACTAAGAATAATTAATCTAACAAGGGAAAAAAAAGGACTTTCATTTGCTTGGAGCAGTTATAAGTACCGGAGTAAAGTCGATGTGGAAACTATGTTTTCTAAAACTTCTTATAAAAATAACCCATCTTTTGATGAAAACTGATGAAATTAGTAACCTCTCATCATAATGGAAATGTTCTTTGGTCCCTTATAGGTAATACTACACTGAGTGGTTTTTTCAGCTTGATTCCTAATATATTAGCTTGCTTAATTCATTTGTTGTTTAATGAAATTGTTGACAAGTGTGATTTTGCAATTTTAGCACAGTCATTTTATGCTTTGTAAATTATACTCTTAAATATGAAGTTCAGATAGCCACCTAAATGAATGCATCATAGAATGTTTAAACCCATTAAAAATGTTTAAACCTATATGTTACATTGTTAAGGTTAACAAATTGTACTTGACTTAAATGCAGCCAATGGGAGTAGCAATAAAAATTCATTTTTATTTAGGAATTTATTATTTTTGGTTCCTGTCAGATTTCATACAAGCATATTGGATTAGTTGAAATAATTTAAAACAATTAGTGATAATTAAATTTCATGAGTAGGAATAAGTAATACTGTTAGCAACCCAGAAATCCCTATGTTGAGAAGACTCCCTTCTCTATAAATAATTAGAATGAAGTGTAAATGTTTTTAGTATATTTAATAGATATTAATTTTATGTGTTTACTTTTTTCAGTAGATTAAGGTAATATTACCTTTATTTAAGGGGCAGCTAGGTGGCGCAGTGGATAGAGCATCAGCCCTGAAGTCAGGAGGACCTGAGTTCAAATGCAGCCTTAGACCAAACATTTGTCACATTACTAGCTGTGTGACCCTGCGCCAGTCACTTAACTCCAATTGCCTAAAAAACAAAACAAAACATTATCTTTATTTAGTACTACCCCCCCTAAATAGACTCTTTTCCTCTATCTTTCCACTGTCAACTCTAAATTATTCAGTGACAGGGATAGTAAAGTCTGTAACTCAGTTGTATGATAATCGTACCTGGTTTGAACTTGACACAAAAAAATTTTCCAAGGGAAACAACCAGGCATCAAAATGGACAAATTCTAATTTCATCAACTTTCTTTTCCCATAATCACCCTCTAGTGAACATGGCAAAAGAAGTTAAATGTCTTAAATGTATACTGCTTTTGCATTCAGAACTGGATCCATGAAGATATTCAAGCCACAAAATGTTTTTAACAAGGTCATCAAATGCCCACATTGTATTACTATTTGACCACTTTCAAAACACTCAACAGATAGGGGATAAGGAAAATAAATGCAGAAAGGAAGGATGTATGCTCCAGTTTCCTGGGAGAGAAGGTGTATGGAGGAAGAAGACATACTCAGAAATCTGTTCAGGATTGTTCTGTATTTGTGTGTTTTTCCCTTTTTTTCCTGGCCCATTCTTGCTATTGCTACTTATTTCATACTTACATGACCAGAAGGAAATCTTGGGTTGAGTTCCTGCTCATGGTAAAATGGCAATTTCAGCAGTAAACAAGAGCCATCCCTGCCTTCAACTCCCCCCCCCCCAACAACACCACAAATTTATGTTTTGCTAGCCTCTCTCAAGTTCCTTTTCACCAAGCCCAAGCTCACAATTCAAAATTTCCAGGTCCAGGCATACTGTATATGTAGTATTTGGGAATTTGACTTTTTTCATTTGATGTCAGCATCCACATAAGGAAAAATTGTTTTTGTGCCTTTAAAATACCCATTTTTAATTGGCTTTTGGTAGGAAGTGGCCATTGTAAATTTAATTATGATCTTTTCCTCATTCTTGTTAGGTTTCAAAATCTCAAATCCAACAATAACAAAATGTATTTTTTCAATATGACAAAGTTACATAAGAAGAGAATCCCATTGCACGTAAAGAAAAATGCAATTATTTTCTATTTTGAATCTCCACACTGCTGTTTTAGAAAATCATATCTGATTATTTGCTCAGCAGAAGATTATTGAGTTGATTTAGCTGTGATTTTACTTAACAAAGCTTCAACTGCATTCCTACTGTGGAGTCCAAAAAAGGTAGAGAGATATAAATGATACATTCAAACTGTGATTTTTGTGAACAGGGCCATCAATGCACCCCTCGGAGCTAATAGCGGAGATGAGAAACAGTGGGTTTGCACTAAAACGAAATGTACTGGGGAGAAACTTGACCGCAAATGATCCATCACAGGTAATGATCTTTTTATCAGTAAGCTGAAAATGTCTATAAATCTAAATGTGATTGCTTGTGAATTGCTACTTAATGTTTTCCAATATGCATGTCCATAGGAAAGCAAGAGAAAGCAATGGAAAATGTTTAAGATCTATTGTAGTTTTGCTTCTTTACCAAGATGGCAAATAAGAACTTATTTTTAAACCTCTCTTTTAATAAATGAAACCTCCTCTGGTTAGTATAAATGGGCTATCCACTGGCACCACTGGTTAGGGTTCTGAGTATGCTTTGATGCTTCCTTGATCCTAAGGAATCTGGATGACAGAAACCAGTGGGGGGAAAAAAGAAGTATATAAAAGCAACACCCCCCCCAAAAAAAATGACAATACGGTATTTTAAACTGTTATTTATTGACTTAATTTTTTTAAAGTTGTCCACATATGGAAACACCATGTTTCTCAGCATTAAGGGGGATTGTACAAATTAAGAAGACAGCTCATGGAATAAACATGAAATGTAAGACTCAGTGTTCTATTGAAAATTTGAAAGCAAAAATGGGAGCAGCTTTAAGGTTCCTTTAAAGGCCCATGATCTTATTCATTATGTAAATTTCTTAAATTCAAAATAAATCTCAAAGGTTTGACATGATTCAGCCTGAGGGAAGAAGGTGGGGAGGAAAGCTATGATATGTGATGATTTGTAGCTCTGGCATCCCTCCTTAAAACACCCTGATGCTGGCTCAGATGTTCATCTCTGCCCCAGTTCATCATATCCCCCTGGGGTGTTTTTTTCAACCACTCACCCATAAGTATTTGTCAAGCAATCTTATAACTTGTTAAGAAATTTAGCATTTTAATATCAGTCTCTTGTTGGTACAGGAATATGTCGCAAGTGAGGGTGAAGAAGACCCAGAAGTTGAATTCTTAAAATCACTATCAACTAAACAAAAACAGAAACTACTCAGGTAATTATACCAAAGTATATACTTGATGACTTGAGCTATAATTTTCTTTATGTTGAATTTTAATGTACATATTTAACTGCATGTGAGCCTAAGGGTTTACAGCAGATACTTTGCTCTCCAATTCCTTTCATCACATTAATTGGTTTTTAAAGTATGACTATAGTGATGAAATTTAGTAAGAAAGAACTGTGAATATACATTTTATACTTAATTTATAAATTTATGGGGGGTTTCCAGTATACTTAAGAGACATTTATAGATTGTGCTTTTTAGAAGAAATTTAAAATTTCTGTCTTTCTCATTTTCCTTAGAAAATATTTGCAGTTTCTTAGATTTTTGGTTTTTTTGTTTAGTTTTGATTTTTTTCATTATTTGAAGTAAACGAGTTTTGGGTTTCTAATTGATATCTAAGTTGTCTATATCTTTCTGCATATCTGTTTACCCCTGAAATTATGAAATTTCTTCTAGAGTACCAATAGAGGGAGCTTATATTTTGTAGGTACCACAGTGTTAGGAATTTTTAGAGACTGGTAAATTTGCCTTTCCATTTTATGTAGGTAGAGGCTAGTAAAAACATATATGTATCTAATAAACCAATTAAATAGTCTAGAAAATTAAAAAAAATTAAATTCTAAATTACTTGGTAATAGGATTAACAAGTATCTTAATTATTTAGAAAAATACAGAATTCTAAAAAAGAACAGTGGCATCATACATTAATTTTGAAAAGGGTATCAATTTGTAAAGAAAGGTAAATCCATTGAGTTTCAGGTTGCCATTTTTTTAATTTAAAAAAATGTTAAGTGACATTTTTATTATACTTTAAAATAACTACACATGTATAGTATATAATTTTTTTAGCCTAAATTTACCTACACACCCAAGTTCCAAGGCATCCCATATAGTATTGTTTTACATACCTATTAGACTAGGCTTTCTTTAGCTCAGAATGACCATTTTAACATCTTGTAGTGTCAAATTCTGAGTTGGTACTATGAGCAAAAGAGAAAAAAATAATAAGATGGAATTAAATGAAAAGCTATTCAAAGAATAGCTTCTGGATTTGATTGGTTTTGATACATTATAGCTTCCAAATAATTTTATAATTTGAAACATTGTTCTTTACTTTTTTAAAAATTAAGTCTGCGTAAGAGAGAGCAAAGGGAGAGAGAAAGAGTATGTGTATTATAAGACGTTATTTGTATAGATAGATGAACTATATAATGTGCAAAATTCTTTCCAGTTCTAAATTTATTTGAAAGCCCCCAGGCTGTTTTTGCACTTGACCTCATCCCTTTAGGAAAGAATAAGTTCTGCAGAAAAGGGAAGTAATAGTGCATTTAAATAATTTAAAAGAAAACTTTGTCATTTAATAAAGTGTAGAAGTGGTTATTTTAAAGTCAGTACCAACACCTTTAAAAAAAAAATAAGTGTACAATCTTGAGCCACTGAACTAAAATCAAGGAGCTATGTTTAGCATGCTGATTACTCTTTTATCTCCAAATAAAGGAAATTGGATCGCCTTGAGAAGAAAAAGAAGAAAAAGAAAAAAGATAGAAAGAAGCAGCAGCTGCAAAAGAAGAAAAGCAGAAGTAAACACAAAAAACATAAGAGCAAGTCCTCCTCCTCCTCCTCTAGTTCTACCACCTCCTCTTCCTCTTCATCCTCTCTTCCTCATCTTCCTCCTCTTCCTCATCCTCCTCCTCCAGTGAAACTTCAGAAAGCAGCACTGAGAGTGAGAGTGACAGCAAGGAGAGAAAAACACGAAAGAAGATGGCTTCTAAGAAGAAAAAAAAGCCAAGTCTTCAGAAGGTGACAGCAGTGATTCTGAAGGGAAAGGGGGAAAGTCTGGGAAGGCCAAACTTGATGAAGAGCCCTCCAGTAGTCACAGTCACAAGGAAAAAGCAAAGGAGAAGTTGAGGTTTTCAAAGCAAGAGAGTTTTGGGGAGAATACCAAGTGGAGCTACTGTGGTTCTGAAAGAAAGTCCAGAAAGCAGAATCACAGCCCAGGCAAGGGGAGAAATAGTGGGAGCCAAAGCAGGCAAGACAGGGATCACAGAAGCTCCAGCACAAGTCACAGCAGTTCTGGCCCAAGACAGACAAGAAAGAGACCAGGCCGGAGCCCTAGCGAAGAGCAGCGCAGAACAAGGGAGCCCCCAAGCTCCAGCACATGTGTGTACAGAGGTGAAAAGAAACCCAGAGAGGACTCCAGGGGTGAGCGTGCGAGGGCAAAACACAGACAACGAAGCAGGAGTGAGACTGAGTAAAGAGAAAGGATCTGCGACAGGTACCTGGAAATAGAAATAGCTCCACTGTTTATTGACTACCTTCCCCAAGGGCTAAATTATGTACTATTGTCTTTCTAATAAAAAGCTGTGTTTTCATTTTCCACTCCTGTAAACTGTCATTTCACGCACAAAACTCCATCAGTACTGTGAGAATGAATCTTGTGAATATTTGTAAGTAGCCTGTTTTTTGTCTGTAGAAATATTTTCTTTTGGTGTTTTTTGTTTTCCTGTGCTAAATGAACACTCATATAACTTTGTAAATGACATTTTCTTTGTTTTGAAATATCTTTTAAAAAAAAGAACGACAGTTCATTGAATGGGTATAATTTAATTTGAATTTCTTATTGTTTTTAAGGTTTAGATTTGCTTTGGGCAAAGCACAATCTGTGTAAAATCCTCTTGTAATATGGTTAAATGCTAGAATAATATTTCTAACTCCTTCTGGGGTAAGAAGTAGCCTGAATATAATATTTTGGGCAATACTTGAGGGAGTTTGGGTACTGGATTTTTTTTATTTTTAAACTTCTACCTTAGAGGGCAGTTTTCATGAGCTAAATAATGGTTTTAAAAGTTCTGTAGAAATGTATAACATGTTTTGGCCTCCTGCAGTGTATAATGGGGTGAGGACTATCTTAACATCACGAACCCCTGTTGGTCTTTGTCACTGTGGAGTCAAGTTATTGTTCGATAATTTTTCAAGACATGAAAAGAATACTGTTTGCAGCCTTAACTGTTTCCAGGTATTTCATTCTAGGCAGTAGGATATTAACTTGGATGCCTTTTTTCTGTTGGCACACAGCTGTTAAGCTTTTATTTTTCTAAAGGCTTAAGTTTTCACTTCATGTCATAAAGATGAACCATTTTAATAAATTCCATTATTTTTTAGAAGTAGTGAGAAACATTGCTTTTTGATGTTGTATCTGATTTCAGAGGAACAAGGTTCTAAAATCAAACACATTGTGTTGCAAAACATCCTTAAAGTCAAATGTTGGGAAAAATAAGATAATCAAGAAGTATTTTCATATAAATTGTCCAAGAGACAAGCAGAAGCCAAATAAGTACCTACAAGATATGTTATGTGTACAAGTATTTTTATCATGTTTTCACATTTTCAGGGTGTAAGTGTTTAGATTCAATTGTGTAGATTTTGAGGTTCTTACCTACCCCCTAACAAAAAAAAAAATGAAAAGCAATTGAATGCCTTCAGGCAACTGAAGTAAATATTATTGAATCAGGTTTTCCTTTGTTTAATTACTTTCTTTGATGGATCTATAATTTGGAGCATTAAAAGTAAAGCTACTTTATGTGTTCCCACACCTGAGAAATGCATTATCAGTACTAAGAAAAATTTTAATCCTATTAGATTTAATTGCCGTCATACTGACTTTTTTCTCTTCTTCGTTCCTCTTTGCCAACAACTTTGTAATTTTTTGAAACAGGGCACTTCACTGTTAACACCTAAAAGAGTTTTTTGGCCAAACTAGTTTGGCTTTGAATGAAAAATAAACCAATGTAGAGCAGTCCTTTAGCCTTCTGACACTTGTCTTTCTGTAAACCAGTGGCCTAAACATTGAGAGGCAAATGTCCCTTTTGTACTTAGAAAGCCTTTTTGGATGGTTTATTTTCTTGATGTTTTAAGAGACAGTGTAAGTCACTTAACTGGGCAAGTCATTTAACCCCAATTGCCTTAAAAAAAAAAGAGTGTAAAATGCAAACAAAAGCCCAGATATAACTTGTCTGATTATAAGGAAGACTCTTACCAGACAAAACATTCCTCATACACACAGTATATAGTTATAGTGCCTTTGAATTTTCAATACAGCTTTTGGCATGAAGCACCTAAGGTGACTTTGGCTAAAGATCAGAGTAGGACTTGAATGGCTTTCATCTCAGCTTTCCACACTTAAAAATCAAAAGGAGAGGCATTTTACACACACACACAGAAATAATAAACAGTTTTATGGAGACCTGCTTTGTTTTATATGCCTTAATGTAGATAATAAGGAAAATAGCTTGAAAGTAATTTTGTTATCTTGACATAGCTGTGAATTAAAAACTCCTAATTCTAGGTTTGTTTTTCTGATTGTTGTAATAGGAATGTAAATTACAGGAGAACATAAGGAAATGAACTAACTAAATAATTCTACAAGATCTTTTTCTCTGGTATCACTTTCCTGTGCAGTTTTCTAATAAAGGATTTGGGAGAGAGTTGAAACCATTCATAAAATAGATTCTCTACATTCCCTGATGTCAAGGAAACACAATAACCGTTTTAATGGACGTCAACTTAAACTATCTTCTACGTGATGTTGCCTTAGAAATGGCTGAACACGTGTCCATTTTGTTTGAGTATGAGTATTCCATCCTCATTTTTTCCTGCAATATATTAACAATAAATCTGAGGATTAGTTGCTGGCAATCTTAGTGACAGGCTTTCCATTTCCTGTTTGTCTATCTGTCTTTAGAAGGGGTAATGTACACACTTTAGTTCTGACTGGTTCACTAGTACCAGTGATAGTCGTTTGACCTAATTTAACATGAGCAAATTAATTCCTGTAGGAGGTGCTGTTGATTTACAAATGGCTAGGAAAGAACTATGGTTTCTGTGGTGAGACTTGATTGTTCCAACATCAGTGTATGGACATGTGCCCTTAGGCAGAATTGCATTTAGTAAATCTATGCCAAGATAGACAGATGGCAGCACATCATTTAGCAGCCGGTTGGATTACCTTGCAACGTTAAATGCAGATTTTTTGTTGTTGTTGTTTTTAAGGGAACATGTTGATCATACCCTCTTGGAAAGCTTTGGGAAACCTTTTTTGTTGCTTTTCCAGAGAACCCATGCTGGTAGTAAATCAGATCAGTCTCATTCTCTGCAAGCCTGATGTTTCCGGTTTTAATCACTGAACATTTAGCATAACTTAGCGTTGACCTGCAGGTGTTTAAAAATCTGCCTGGGCCCCCAGGACTATCTGTCTGTATCACCTAATGACCCCTTAGTCACAACACTATCAGAGAGTGGTAGGTAATACATTCTGCCAGTCCCTATGCTCCATTCCTCTCTGCAGTCTGCTCTCCAGATCTCAGGGAGAGCTTTGCTTTAGCTAGATGGTTTCTTTGCATTTAAATAATAAATCAGTAGTGGTAACCTATGGAGAAAAATAAGGTTTGTCATTATCACCGTTTAAAAGCCCTAAGGAAAGTTTTGTGGTTTTTTAATTCAAGAGATAGTGCAGCATTTTCAGTTTTTCAGTGCATCTCAAGCAAGAAAAGAAATGACAAAAGGGATTGGCAAGACTGGACCCTAATCTTAATGCTAACTGACAGATGAAGGGAGCTCACCTTTGCAAAGTCCCAAAAGAGAGAACTTGTCTTAGTCTCTCATTCAGAGACTTAAGAGCCTAAAGAAACAAGACATAGCCTTCCCTCCTTCTTTTGCCTCTTCACACAATACCATGCCTCACCTCCAGAATTAGGAGGGGAAAAAAATAGGTGAGGGAGAGGAGCTGATGAGAGGAAACAGGAAGGGAATTAGCTACAGTGTAAATTGCAACCCTCCATTCCCCATAGGGAAAATCAAAAGTCTATCTTGCTGTCACAAGGGCCTAAAGCAATTTATGACAGGGAAGATGCATTATGTTCTAAGGAACAGACTCGGAGGTGATGAGAGTCCAAGGCTCTTAGCTGCTGTGGTTTCAGCTGCTTTAAGACTAGCCAAGTAGCACTTTTTCCCAGTGACTAGACGCAGGGGCAAACAGTGAGTGCCTGCCTGGCTTCAGATAAGTCCCAGTGAGGTCTTGGCTGGAATCACTGGACTTCTGTTACTTCTAGAGAAAGGCTCAGATGAAGGGAAGCTGGTCGTCCCTAGGTGTCCTTGTGCTTTCCTCACCCAAGTGCCTCAAGCAAAATGCAGAACACATCCCAAACTCAAACAAAAGTGAACAGGGGAAGGGGAGAATCAGCTATCTATGAACAAGATTTCAAATCCTGGCTAGAAAGATCTAAGGTAAAAGAGCCATTGGTTTGCTCCTTCCCTCGCTTTACAGCATTTCCTTGGCTAGGCCTCTCGTCTAGCTCAAAGAGGATTCCCCTCCTCTCTTCCAGCATCAGTGGACAAACTCTTTGGGGAGCCATTGCAGATACTAGAGCTGAAGTTCTTAAGAGAGAATTAATTTTATCCCCTGCCTGCCAGGCTCATAGCAGTCCACATTCATGGGAATAGCTTAAGATGAGGTGACAGAACCTGAAAAACACAACCTATTCACCTGTACTCTGGCATGTTTTGAGCTCCCTGGTCCCCACCTAGACCCCCCACTCTGCTTAGGAGCACAAGTAGTTAGAAGAGGGAGCTGATGAATTTATCAACCAGCCTACCTTCTTCCTGCTTTCAATGTTGACTCCACAGGTGAATCACCAAGAGTCACTTTTTTTAGCTTCAGTTTCTGTTTCTCTTATTTCTTCTATCCTGGGCAATAATAAAAAGCCTGAAAATCTCTTGGAGGCTTGATAGTCACAATATCAGCCATCATTAAGAAGGAAAGAGGATAGGGAGGGAGGAAGAGGGGGGAGTAGAATCAATTCGTAGCTTCATCTTAAAAAAACACAAAAAATAATGCCCAAGAGGAAGAGTCAAAATGAAGAAAGGGCTAGGAAAACCTGCATGCTTCAGCAAAATGAAAGGGTCCCTGAGAGCCAGGTGACCCTGAGAAGTCGCATCCGACATCACATCAAGGACACTCCCAGATATCTTTCACCTAAAGTGGATATGTATACACAACTTATATACAGACATGTATCTGAATATATTTGCCTCATGTATTTCTATGAACTCCCTAGTCTGGAAGGGATGGGGGGGTAAATAACACTGAACGGTTAAAATTATGGAGAAGGGATAATAACTGATTACTAATTTGAAAGTAAATAAACAGGTGACTTTTTCAGATCAAATTCCTTCTTGGATCGTTACAATAAATATCTCTGAAGGAAGCTCTCTATTTATGTTGTCATTGATTAATTCTTCACTACCTCATTTGATTTCGATTTAGAACGATTTGATTCTAATTTAATTAGCATGTAATTTGGATGTACATAATTACTGTAATTATGACATTCAGGTAAGGCAGCTTTAGGCTGAAAGGCAATTTCAAATTTTCTAGCAACCTACTTTGTACTGGGAAATGGACAAGGACTTTGCGCCCTGGTACCCAAGTAGTAATTAGCACATCTTTGAAATAGGCAGTGCAGTGGGGTTTGTATTAAAACAGCAAATACAAAGCCGGCCGAATTGCCCACTGAAAAGGTAGCTAACGTGTTCCCCCGGAAACACGCTACATTTTACTCAGTGCGAGTTCGTGGGAGATTCGTTCCTTGGAGCTGGCGCTCTGAGGCTACAGAGTCCTGCTCGCCGCTGAGCTGCCAACAGCTCCGCCGCAGGAGCGCACTCGGGGTGGGCATGTAGGTTGCTGCTTTTAAAATAAAAATAAAATAAGGCGGATGGGGGAGGGGGGCTGTCGAAGAAGAAGAGGGAACTGGAGGAGAGAACAATCCACATAGTGGAGAGAAAATTATCAAACCGCCTCCGACTGCTATCCAATTTTAGAATTTGATTTAAAAGGAAAAAGGTGGGGGCAAAAAGGGGTATGTTTGCGCTGCAAGACAGCTTTGATCCCCAGGGAGGATATGTAGGCGATGGGCTTAGGAACTTCTCACCTCCCCTCTTCCTCTCCCTCCATTTCCTACACACACACACACACACACACAAAATGCAGCCTCCCAATCATTCCCAGCAGTCTGGATCTTCAGTCTCAAGCTGGGGCAGGGACCATCGGTGTGTAAACCGCAGGGTGAAATTGTACCCTGGAGGGGGTGAGGAGATGTCGAGTGTCAAACAGACAACTACCCCTACCTCCCCATCCCTGCCTTCTCTCTCCCTACTTTTCCTCTGAGGACCACTTTAATTCTTCTAGACTTAGGGGTTGGGTTTGGGATTTTTCCCCTTCCGGGTTTGATCAACTTGGTTTCCCATTTCGTCATGGAAACTTTTGGCCGGCCTAGCCCCCACAGAGGACAGGTTTCCCAAACCACCCAGAGATTCCTACCAGCACCAAAGGACCTTGGGGGAAGAAGGGACGCAGGCTTTTGGTCGCCCCTGTGGGTGGTCAGAATGCTGGAGTTCATGCAGCCTGCCAATCCGGGGCCCAGCGTTAGAGAACCAAGAGTTCTAGGACATTGAAGTTCCATTTGTAAAAGAACGTTAAATGGCAGCAATTCCAAGTCTAGGATCAAGCTCGCGTTAATTTTTCGTTATACTTTGATTTTTGAATTGCCACGTTTCAGGAACGATCCCGTTTTCTCGACCTAGAGCTGTAATAGCCAGAGTAGTAACACAGTGCGTTCAAAGTAACGCCTCTTTATCATACCTCATCTCCTCTTTTCCTCTGGAACCCCAAACCTCTGTTTTTCTCTGCTGGACTCCCTAGGTCTTTAATGCTTGGGTGCTAAATAAAGCCCATTGCCTTTTCCTGCGTTGTTTCGCCGGGACAAGGGGGAAGTGCTGCCCTTCCTATCCTAGAGCTCTAGATGGCGCCAGAGAGCCACAATTACAAGCATCCTCTCAAAGGAATCAAGAGCGACTGTCAAACATAAAAGCAAATCAGAGTTTTCAGTTTTTTTAATGTGTTAAGAATGTTATTCCTTAAGAAAATTTGTAGCTAAATTATTCTCACTTAAAATAAACACTTAGTATACCAATTACACAAATGGGCGGGATTTATGTAAGATTTACTTCATCTGCATTTTTGTAGTGGAAGAGAGCCTTGGTGAATACAGATAATAGATGCAAATAAGATTAGAGTTAAAATAAATAAAGTTTTCATCTGAATAGAAGAAAATCATTTTTACATGACTTTTAACGATTTAACGAAAAGTCCACACATGCATTCAGGTGCACGAATCTAATCTCAAAATAATAATTTTTTAAAGGAAACGCTGTAATTCTCAATCCTCTCACCCTCACCCCCACCAGGTAGGAAGCTACCGAGGGAAAAAGAACAATGACAACAGCAGAAAATAGAACTCCTAGTGGATCAGAAACTTAGACAACGAGTTCTGGTGGGGCAGGAGAAGTCAACTCCGGAGCTGGGCCCTCGACCCCCGAAGCCTTGCTCCAAACCTGTTTGGATTGGGGCTGGGCGGTGGCAGGGATGGGCGAAAACTTAGCCGAGCTCCTGGTACTGAAGGTGAAACTCGCAAAACAGAGAGCATCTGAAATGACACCGAATAAAGCGAAATTAAATTTTCAAAACGTGGGGCCAATAGCGTCTTCTAAACCAGCTTCTCTGAACTAAACTCCCCGAACTAGAAAGGATACTCCAATTCTCTTAGCTTTGTCCTAGGCTCCCCCTCACCCTGCGGGACGCCGAGGCCCATCCTCCCAAGCCGAACCAGGAGAGCCCTGTATGCCGGCACTTAGTCTCCCTAAGGAAATGCTATTCAAGAACATGGTTTCGAGAGGAAAATTAAGGAGTTTTTATATGATCAGTTTTATTTACTTTCCCAAAACGTCGCCAGACCTTCCTCCAAAACTTATTCTTATTCACATACCCATTTGCCAACCAACCACTTGCGTAAAAATTTTTCCGAACCCAAACCATTCAGCCTTATGGGTTTATCTACTGATGCCTACAACATCTTGGGAGTGAGGGATTTGAGTTTTACTGAGAGAGTGATGCCTGAGGGGGAGAGGGGTGCCTTTTTCTTTGTTGTTGGGTTTTTTTTTTAACGGAGAAGGAGGAGAATGTGTTTTCCCCCTTCACTCTTTTCTTTTCAGGTTACACGCTCTCTATTTTCCTCGATGAAGGAACCGGCTCTGCAGCCCCTCAGCCGTTTCCCCAGCTCGGTTTCTGGGGAGTCTGCAGATGATGGACGTTTTTTGACCTGCGGGGGCAAAAGCAACGCAAAAAGGTCCTTGATCACTGAGCTGAGAAGTGTAGCCCTAGCCGGAGAGAAACTGGACCTGGATGGTCAGGTCCTTTGATCTGTTTTTATTATACATGGGAAACAAAGCTGACTTCTGCCCAACACCCAGGGAGCATCGCATTCCTCTGAAAACCCAACAACATTAACAACCAGCTAGGAGGGGAGATCCCAGCCCAGCAGCCCCGGCGACCTCACTTGTTTATTTTCCCCTGGCGCGACAGTGTCATCCTCACCAAGCTCTACTCTTCTCCCATCCTCCCTACCCCACCCCCAGCCAATTCCCACCCCTACTTCCAAATACCATGCATCTTCCACCAGCTTTTTTCCAAGTATCAACCCGCCTACTCTGGGTGGGAAGACCGAGAGAAAACACCCAAGGGTAACTCTGATAACATCTGCTCGAGGTGGCAGAGAAAATAGCAAAGGGAAAGAAGGAAAAATCCGGGAAAAGTAGTACGGTGTAGGAAAGCTGTGGGAAAGGCAAGCTAGGGAAGGCCCGGGGGGGGGAGGGAGCAGGGGCACAATGGTATCACGTTGCTAAATGACACCAAAGAGCTGTTCTGAATGCCCCTGAAAAAAATGCTGCTGGCAGGATGGATCCCTTTCTGTCCCGCGTGCCTGGCGACCTGCACTAGTACTTATCATCCTTAAGAGTCTGGTACTTGGCTGTGCTTTCCAGATCGGTATTTTGAGAGAGGATGTTTTGTTAAAAATTAACGGGTTATGGGAATTTTTTTTTTTAAGATTCAAAATCCTCATTCGAGTTTATATGACCGGCAGTAATAAAACAGAATTTCCGTGGGGGCTGGCTTAGCTTGCGTTTGCTATTGTGTAGGGGGCGCTTAGAAATATTTTTATTCTTTGAACACGGACTTTATTTTCTAAATTAACATTTTTTGAATTGCGAAATTATCTCATTTAACCATTTTCTTTTGCCTCTCTCCCTTCTCTCTTTTAAACTGTGGCTGTTAAGTTGGTGGTCAGAAGACAAAGGGAGTGAAAATAATTTTCATTTCAATAATTGCCTTCTGGTCAATTTAACTGTGCCTTATTTTGAAAGAGACTGTCTAAATGAGATTCCTGTCCCAAATGTGTTCCCAGGCCTTATCCCAGCCTTTAATTATTCCTGAGTTTTTTTTCTTCAGAATAAGACGCTGCGCTGAGTAATCACAAAGAAGTCAGAGAGCATCCTTGAACCTTTTCAATAGCAGAGCCACTGATATTCAAATAACCTGCGAGGGCCATTTGACTGCATGGGGACATAAGCATTTCCAATTCACTATTTGCATAGATCAACTGTCTTTGAAAAGGGAAGGAGCAGTTGTCTTCCATAACATTAAAAAGCCTAGTTATCAAATCAAGTGCTTAGTTTGGGGGCTTTTAAAACATTTACACTTTATCTCAGGTTGCCCTTTACCGTTTGACATGCAAATTTGGTGCAGTTAATTTAGACAATTAAAAAGATCTTCAAGGGAGCTTTGTCACGGAGAATATTCCGAGTTTTCCCCGTGGACCAGCTGAGATAAAGTTGGCCAGAACAAATGATGTCTAGGAGATTAATTAGATATTTGATAAGACATGAATCCCTAATAAGGGAATACAAGGCACAGGGGGCTGCTGTGTGCTCTAAGTCAAAATTAATAACATTTAACAAGATTTTCATTTAGGCATGAAATGTCTTTTCCGGAGTCTGACTAGCGATTTATCCCCTGAGATCACCTCGCAACCTACGCAGCCTTGAGAGGCTAAAGACATTTTTGTAATGTTTTAGTTTTTTTACTCGCTTAAAAGACAAACAAAAAATCTACAGTTTTACTATGATCTAGGAGTGTTCCCTCCCACTGGAGTTTTCATGTTTTAAAAATGCAAACTGCCTCTCTTCTATCAAGCCTCCAGGATTTTAAAAATATCACCTTTTGAAAGAGCTCACATTAAGAAGGGCAACTAACATCTTTGAGAAACAAATTTAGCTGTTGAAAAATAGACTATTTTGCCTTTTCAGACATTTCTATATCTTACGGGGTTTTTTTAAAATGAAACAGATATTCCCTATATCGACTACTACTAACATTGATGGGATTTTCTCCCCCACCGGGAAAAAAAAAGTCTACCCAAGGAAGGGTTGTTTGGGGGGGAGGGAGGGAGGGAGGAGAAACCGGGAAAAGGAAGTGTATTGTTCAGAGTCCTTTAATAATAGCAAAAGGAAAATATTATGATGCCAGGATTTTCTTCATACAGATAAACGCATTTAATTTCTTTAGATGACCTTAACTTACGTGTTTGTGAGTGAAATGATAACTCAACATTTTAAATATCTTTACATATATACTGACTTCCACAAAGTGCATCAGAAAATTTAAAAAAAAAACCTCCCTGAATTTCAGGAATTCACAAAAAAAAACCCTATTCGAATAAACATTTACAAGAAAATAAAAGAGAACACAATCTTTTGAACCCTATTTATACAGATGTTATGAAATACAGAGAAATTGTCTTTAGACTTCCAGTTTAATTTCTCACCTTAAGCCTCTTTTTTGATGCTTCCTTTTTAAAAAGTCTCATTGTAAATAGATATCATCAAGCAGGACTTGGAGTATTTTATATATGATATAATCCACACAAAGGGTCTGTTTTTATAGGTCCCATTTGTTTTCAAATGTTCTGACAGCCTCTGCTGGGTGGTGGGGTTTTGTTCGTTTTTTTGAGATGGGGAAGAGGTGGATTAAGGGGAGGAGGTTGGGCTGAGATAGAGGGAGAGTTTGTGTATTGCTCTTCACTCAAGAAGTTTGTATATCGGGGTGTGTGTGTGTGTGTGTGTGTGTGTGTGTGTGTGTGTGTGTGCGCGCGCGCGTGTGTGTATGTGTTTTTCTGTGTCTCTGTGGGTTAAAAAAAAACTGCTTTGAATTTGCTGGGATTGTTATTAGTAGTTGTCCCTGGACCAAGCGTGGCATATTCAAGTCTCCGCTGCAGTCTGGAAGAGAGAGATTCGCCTAGAGCGGGGCGGGTCACACCTCCCGCTCCAAACTGGCGCTGGAGCTCACCAGCGGTTCCTTCTCCTTCTCCTTCTCCTTCTCCAAACGCGGGGAGCAGAGGAGGACTAGGGGGAGACGGGAGGGAGCCTCTCTCGCGCTCGCTCGTGCTCACCGCATCTCTCGCTCCCATTCGCTCTCGCTCTCGCTCGCTCTGCGTGTCTGTCTCTCTTGCTCGCTCGCTCGCTCGCTCTCCTCACTTCTCACCACCTCTAAGAGTCGTTGGGCCCCGAAGCGGATTCCTTGCCTCCCGCTGAAGCAGCTGCAGCCGCCGCCGCCGCCGCCGCTGCAGCCGCCGCCGCCCGGGCCGCGCTCACCCCGGAGTCGTGAAGGATGAGGTCCGGGGACTCGGAGCGGGGCGTCTCCAGGTTGCTCGCGTCCGTGTCACTGTCGCTGCCCTTTTTGCCCCCGCCGCCCCCGTTGTGTGTTTTAATGTGTTTGCTCAGGTGGTCGCTGCGCATGAACCGCTTGTTGCACACAGGGCAGGCGAAGCGCTTCTCGCCCGTGTGAGTCCGCAGGTGCCGCTGCAGCTCGTCCGAGCGCGTGAACCTCTTGCCGCAGAAGAGCCAGTTGCAGACGAAGGGCCGCTCGCCCGTGTGCCAGCGCAGGTGCGCCTTCAGGTGCGACGTCTTGCCGTACACCTTGCCGCAGCCGGGGATGTGGCAGCTGTGCAAGCCCTTCCTCCGCAGGCTTGCCCCGGCGGGCCCCAGCCGCTCCGCCTCCTGGCAGTTGGGGCAATCGCAGGTGGCCCGGCCCGAGTAGCGGCGGGCAGAGCGCGCCGAGCTCCCCCCGGCGGCGGCGGCCGCGGCGCCTGTGATCATGGCGCTGGCGGCGGCCGCCACGGCGGCGCTGGAGTCCGTGTAAGAAGGCAGCACCGGCTTGAAACCCTCCTGGGTCAGCAGGTGCTGGCTGGTGGAGAGCAGGTGCGAGGCGGCGGCAGCCGAGGAGCCCAGGCCGGTGGAGCTGAAGGCCGAGTGCGTGAGCGAACTGAAGTCGGGGTTGTAAGTGCCCAACTGCGAGTGCAGCGAGGCCTGGGGGGCGCCCGAGTGCAGCGAGCTCTGGAGCCCCCCCGCCGGGTTCTGCACCTCCAGCCACGAGCCGGGGTTGGTGTGCACGTCCCACCACGAGGAGGCCGCCCCGTTGGTCACCTCGCCGGCCGCCAGGGTGGAGTGGAAGCCGGACTTATACCAAGACTCGTAGGGGTGCGCCATGCCCACGCGTGGGTACAAGCTGTCGGCTGCCGACGTGTGCACCTTGGAGATGAAGGCCGACTGACCGCCGGCTTCCTGGGGGGACACTCCGGCCGCCGCTGCCGCCGCCGCCGCCGAGTTGGAGAAGAGGCCTCCGTAGTCGCTGCTGAAGGCGGACGACGTGGGCGACGTGGAAGCCAGGCAGAAAGCGCTGTTGGCGGCACCCGAGCCACCAGCCAGTCCGCTGGAGCCTCGGCTGCTGGTGGCCACCGCGAAGCCCGAAAGGCTGGAGCCTAGGTTACAGCTGGAGGTGGAGCGCTTCCAGGGGTGGAAGCCCCCCCTTGGCGAAGGCGCTGGACTCCGGCAGCGTCGTCAGGGGGCTGGTGTTGCCGATCTTGTTGCAGGTCGCGGCCAGCATGGCCAAGGGGGTCGTTCCAAATCTTGGCTCTTCCTAAATGGGGTGGGGTAGGGGGAGTATAGAGCGGGATAGAGGGAGGAGAAGGGGAGGAGGATAGGGTGGGGGAGGGAGAGGGCGGGAGGAGGTGGGGGGAAAGACACAAAAGTGCACCCGTGAGCAGCCTCATCACCCCCGTACTAGACAGTCAAGGAGGGGGGCGGCCCCCCATTTCACACCCAACCCCCTCCCATAACACTCCGCTTGGCTTCCGCACACCCCCTTTGCACACACAGAGGGCAGCCAGCGCACCATGCTAGGGCAGAGGGAATCAAAAGGAATGCTCTCTGGGATCCAAAAAGTTGCTCTTCTTGGGGGAGGTTAACAAATAAAAGATGCATCCACTTATCCAGCGACACTCGCAGCAGCAACTCCAACCCAGAAACGGGGCGCGGGTTTGCTTCACTTTTTAGCCTGTCGTGTGCAGAACCAGACCCCTTTTTTATAGAATCGACCCAAATCGCCTTTTAGGGATAGAGGGAGAAGGTAAATATAACAATAATAAATACGAGGGGTGGGAAAGCGGTATTATAAACAGCGGCACAGAGACCAAATCGAATGCCAATCACTGAATCAGCCATTTCCTCCCAAATCTTCCTATGATTTTGATCTCTATTTTAATTTAAAAATTTTTCCCATTTACAAAAAAACAAAAACCAAAAAACAACCCGATTCTGAATGCAACAATAATCCGAGATGAAACGACATACGGCGACGGATTCCAAAGTCACAGAGAGGTTGGGCAAACCGGGATAAAAGCACAAACGTAAACGTTTGTTTACGCGACTAAACAGACTTCAATGCAAATAAAGCTGCTTTCTGGAAACCCCACGGTAGCGTAATTGCAACATTTCCCAAAGTTGGGGGAAGGGAACGAGGGGGAGGGGAGAATAAGCCACGAGAAAGAACGAAACCCCCCCCTTTTAAAACCAAATCAAAGGGAGCTTGCATACAAATTGTTTTATTGCAAAGGCGTTTCCAGAGCTCCCCAAACTTGAACGGAATCTGCCCAGAAAATGCAGCAAGAGTCTTTAAAGAACCAGAAACTGCATTACAGCAGCAACAGTTTCTCAAGCAACCGTCCCCGAGAAGCCATAACAAAAAAATAAAGTCACTTAAAATGTGCAAATATATATATCTGAGCCTCCGACTTACCCCAAGTATAGACGTAGCCATAGCACGTCCCTTGGCTGACTGCTGGGGCCGAATGGGGGGCTCTGCCAGTCGCGGCGGAGAGGAGGAGAGTTTCCTCAGCTCCCTCCTTCTCTCCCCGCTTTACACCGCTTGCACTAAGTACACTCCTGGCTCCTGTGGGCAAAACTCAGCCTAAGTGTGGGGAGCGCCTGCTTTGAAGTACCGCTGGCTAGGACTCTCACCCAATGAGGGCGCAGAGAGAGCAGACAGGAGCTGCCCCGTAGCCAATCAGACACTCCGAGGTGCCAGAACCAGGGCTCCGGGCGCGTGCCAGTCAAAGGCAGAAGGGGGGGGAAGGGAACGCAATGCTTTGGACTGAAGAAATTATACTGCAATTAAAATTTTAAAAACACACACAACAACAACCTAGGTTTAAATAACGCTAAGATTGTTACACAAAACAACAAAACCCAAGAAATGCAAAGTTAAATGTGACTCTTCCCCCACCACTTGTAGGAAAATGGGGTGGGATGGGGGAGGCACGGAGGAGGCACAAACCAGGGCAGAAGGGGAGAAAGAAAATGTCAGTTGTTAAATTTGCATTTCCTGACTTTTGCTAGTCTATATGATAATTTTATCATTTTACAACTCTCTCTCTCTCTCTCTCTCTCTCTCTCTCTCTCTCTCTCTCTCTCTCTCTCTCTCTCTCTCTCTCTCTCTCCCCTCCCCAATCACTTTATATGCAGTCTGTATTGCTATCTGTGCATCTATTTACCAAGTCACTTATTACTCCTATATCTAATTTCTATACGCTCTGTTATCCTGGAAAAGAGGTACACTAGGTAGAGAAGCAGAACAGAAAAGACAGAATCTTATTTAAAGAGTCCTCAGTCCTCTCCACAGCCCTCCAATAAAAATATCCCATATACTAATCCAAAGGAGACCCTGAGCATTATTTACCCAACAGCTTAAAATGTCTCCCTAAATTGACACTTTAGTCTGTCAGGCCTTTATCTTAGTCCCCAAGACCCACTGCGCCCTAAAAACACCACTCTCAGAAAAAGCTTCTCCGAGTCTTTCGAAAAGTTTCTTTTAGCTCTTTATATACCAGGCAGTTATTAAATTTGATCAAACAGTAGGAGTTTTTCCAGGTTTCATTTTGGAGAGATGGGGAAGAGGGAGATAGGAAAAAGTGCCTCTTAACATACTTTACCTTGATTTGTTTTTATTTGTTGTAACGACTTCCAAAATCTGTGTGAGAATTGTTTTCTTCTCCCCCTCCCCTATTCTTCCCTATTTTGTCTGAGGGAAGTTTTTGTTGTTGATTTGCTTATTGCAGCGAGTTAGGCTTTAAGTGTTTGAGTGCAGCCTGACATCTGGTTTTCAAGCCACAACTCTACATCCCACCATTTGAAGCCTACTAACGGATGGCGGAGAGGCTGCTTGCTCCTGTCTCACACCGCAGCAGCGCGAGGGCGCCGTTGTTAGCCTCTTCTTCCCCCACCCTCGGCTGTGGCCTGTCTGTACTGTGTACACTCTGCACTCCCCTGCGAACTACAGATTCTTTACCTGCTCTCTTCTTTTGCTGAAATAGATACGTACAAGTCGTGGGTCCTGGGTGCATTGCAAACTAGTTTCTGTTATTTGTAATTTTCGGAAACTTCCCATGTCCCTGCATTACTGTCATCCCAATAGTGGGGTGGGTAGATAGATAATGCAAGTTTAGATATTAGGGTTCCATGTAGTTGGCTCTTTGGGGACATTAAAAATGCTGATATCATTATGTTTCTTCCTTTTGGTGTCGCTCCCTTCTTTCTCTTCTCCAAGGCGGCAGCTGCCCACGATTTTTGAACCAGAAATATGAATACATGCATACATGCAGTCAGGGTATTAGTTTAAAATTCGTTCTTTCTCCCCCAACTCTCCAATCTAAGTCATCTTCAAGTACCCAACCACTAAACGCCAAACCTGAGGTACAAAAAATGTATGGAAGGGGGAGGAGGGGGAGAGGGAGAGGGAAAGGGAGGGAGAAAGGAGAGCGAGCGAGCGAGCGAGAGAGAGAGAGAGAGAGAGAGAGAGAGAGAGAGAGAGAGAGAGAGAGAGAGAGAGAGAGAGAGGATTCGTGCCCCCAGTGTTATTTTGCTATCGCTGAATCTCTTTGGTTAAAAGTGCGACCATCATAATATTATGCTTTGCCTTGAGACTGATCCAACCTGTAGTCAGTGTAGCCCGGTGGGCAAGAATATCCCTGTAGGTCTCTTAATCTTCAACAAAGTACTTTGGCAAGGAGTGTTTTTAAGGTGAGAAAGGATAAAGAAAAATTATATTCTATTTCAAAACGCCCTCCCAAATGGAGAGAGAGAGAGAGAGAGAGAGAGAGAGAGAGAGAGAGAGAGAGAGAGAGAGGAAGGAGAGGGAGGAGAGGGAGAGAGAGAGAGAGAGAGAGAGAGAGGGAGAGAGAGAGAGAGAGAGAGAGAGAGAGAGAGAGAGAGAGAGAGAGAGAGAGAGAGAGAGAGAGAGAGAGAGAGAGAGAGAGAGAGAGAGAGAGAGAGAGAGAAACCCTGAGCCCAGCTTTAACAGTAGCCTGCTTACCCAGGGGAGCTGTAGTGATAATCGGGTAGAGGCGTTTGAAGAGCTCCCCTGGGGGTGGGGGGTGGAGGGAGCCTAGCAGCCCGGACAAGCCAGAGAGCCCGGCAGGGGCACCGGGGAGTCATTCCCCAACAGGTGACTCTTTCCCATAGGGGGAGGACTGGCACTCCTGTTTATTTAGAGGCCCGGCGTTGATTTACTAATAGAGGTGATTGTTAAGTGGCAGCGAGGCGTTTCAGAACCACCTCGGAGCAGCCCAGGGAGGAGAAATGGCGAAGGTTTCCCCCCCCATCCACCCACTCCCCCCTCCTCTCTCCTTAAGGAAACCTGACAAAGTAATAAATATGACGATGCGAAAAGCCACTTAGCGCCGGTGACATTTTAAAGTCAACCATTTAAAACAATTCACGCCAGCACCTCATACTCTTGGCTCCCTCGTTCCTCTCCTTCCCTCTTCTCCTCCCCCTCCCCCCTTTCCCGTTTCATGTTTTCAAACGTATTTCCAGCTGTCAGCATCTATGTATACGGGCATGTAGTTATTTCTAGAGATACCCACGTCCTGATCACAATAAAAGTTAGTGAAATCTCCCAACCTAAAGAAGACAGCTCTCCATGTTTCATACACCGGTGCCACTTAAGCGGGGTGGGGGGGGGGCCTTACTAGGAAATCTTTAGGGGGAGGTCCAGCTTTTTTTTTCCCCTTTCCTCTGACAGATTTTTTCATACTCTAAAAATCTAGTTTTTAAACAAAGATCAATGTGTTATGCTAAAGTGTTGAGCTGACTGTTAAAACATTTGGGGAAATAATGACAATGTAACAAAGGCCTGGTTTGGAGTGAATCATCACCCTTTTAAAAGTTAAAGCAATTTTCAGGAGAATAGCTTTCAGCAAACGCTTTACATTATTCAAAACGGCCAAATAATGCTCTATTATAGCGCCTGAATGCTGCCAGTCAGCCCATAAGTGCAATTTGTGCAAAGGCTCGGTGCCTTATCTCCACTTCTTTATAAAGAGGTGAATATAAAACAATTTCTTCCAAACCCAGACAGAGAGCACGAAAATTGCTTCCCTTTCTGCAATCAGGGCAATTTAACTGGAGTGCAATTAGCACTATTAAATGTCGATTCTGCATAAACAAATCTGACTAAGAAGCGAAAGTGGGGTGAGAACCTCATATACACTGAAACTGATTTTTTAAAATTATGTATCCGGGTCCTTTACAATTGATCCGTGACGTTTTCTCCTTGGAATATATTTACATTGTAAATACACTATCGTGAAATACACTTTTATTTTATTAAAAAGAAACACCCAACAACTCAATAAGAATCCTAATAAAGAAGAATGGGGTAATTAAAGGGAGCAGTTCACTTCCTTTGAACAAATATTGTTTCCCCCATCTTGCCTCTCCATTGAGCTTTGATCTGAGCCAGTGCTAAAGTTACAGTGTTTAGAAGGCAAAGCTGAGGAACAATTCCTTCATTACAGCTGATTGGAAGGATCCGGGGTTCGTGCGCCACGGATGAAATGATTCTCCCTCGCGTTCAAGGAAGCAAGGTTCTGGGAGAGAAGCGCCAAATAGGTTCTGAATAAATCGATATAACAGCTGGTTAAATGTAAGGTGGCAGCACAATTTCCTAGAAACCTCAGAAAGGCGCAGACTTTACCCACGGATGTTACAGGGATGCAATGGGATGAGATGGAAAGGGGACAGAATTGGGTGGGGATGGGGGGGAGTAAGAAGAGCAAGGAAAGGAGGAGGGAGGAGGGAGGTACAGACCTTTTCCAGTTCAGTTGCAGTCTGATCTTCTGCCACGCGGAATGGGTGTGCGGGGGAGACCTGCAACAAGCACCTGTCTGACAATTCATCGCACCCTGCCATGTTGTTGGTTTTTTCTAAGCTACCGTGGATCTCTTTCTGAGTCCTTCTCCCAGTTTTGCTTTTCATTTACATTTCCTATGCTCCAGCAATGATTTTCGGGTCAACGAGATATGGTAGTTGGGGGGATAAATGAAATAACTTTAGTTAAGAAAGGGCTTTCCTTCTGTACTTATCAAAGACTGGTTATGAAAAGGGGAGCAAGGAGACGATGTTAAAATACAGACCTTGGTGCCTGTTGAGTCCAGAAAATTCTCCTTTTCTCTCAACTCCTCCCCCCTCTCCTCCCCAGTAGAGTTTTTCATTTGAGGGCAAAGATGTAGCCAGGCTTTTGATTAGAAGAGACTCTTTTACACTTAATTCTAGTACTAATAAAAGAGGAGGGGGAGTTAGCACTGCGATCAAATGGATCAAGGAAATTAATTGAAAAAATTATGGAACTCTCCCACAATTTCCAAGAGGCTTTCATTTCTTATTTGTTACATAACGTCCTCTTGCTGCCCCCACCTCTGCCAATGAAAGGAACAGGAAGGATCAATTGACGAATGGATTTTAATCTTTCCTCGGTCTTGAAGGTGCCACTGCTATTTAGAGGTAACAGGGAGATGCAGATTTCCTTACATCTGTGAGGAGGAGGAGGAGGAGGAGGCTGCTAGAGAAATTGAAAAGCCCTACTCTATTAAGTGCTTTCCCAAGGTTT